ATCCTGAGAAATAAGCAAAGGGTAAGTATACCCAACCGTTAAAAAAAAAAATGTGATGCAAGCTCATTAATCCAGGCGGTCTTACCCCGCCTTTTTTGGAGTCTTTGGCTTCGACGGGTGCCTTCTTGGCAAGCGCAGCCTCTTTGCGCAGCAGCGACGCAGACTTAGCCGGAGTCTTCGCCGGGTCGACCATTCTCAAGGCGTCGTCTGCAAGAACAAGAATTTATGGTTAGAAGAAATTATGGCAAGTTTGCAATAAAAATGAAATAACAATCATTCCGGATGAGAAGTATTCTACCCCTGGGAAACATTGTACTCAGCCCGCAGGCGGACAAGAAGCACTCGTCCTTGAAGAAGTCCGGATGGGGAATCCAGTTCTTGGGAACTATGATGTGAGTCCCACCCCCCATGGGCTCAGTTGTTGTTTCAAAAAATCCCGGCTCCATTATTTGCTCCCGGGCCTTAGTAGATAGCACCGGGAGAGGGCATTTACGTCCTAGAAGAGCTGGCTCAGTGTTGTACCGGCGTAGTGTCCGGTTGTGTCTTAAGGTGGGGGAAGAAATCAAGTAAAACTTGTCCTTCCACCCGGATCATTTGGACACTTTGTCCAAAGTCATCAAGTATTGGGGCAAGGTAGTCAGAGTATACCATGCCCCATGGCCGCCTAGGGCCTTGCTCAAGTAGTCCATATGAGCGAAGGCGGAAAAGCTGGGGTTTATATTTTGAAACTCGCAGGCGGCGATGTAACTAAGAATGTTCACCCACGAATTGGGGGTGAGGTGCCAAACCCCTACATCGTACCCCTTAAGAATTTTCCTAATCCCGGAGTGGAGGGGGAACCGGAGACCGGCTTCGATAACTGCCTCGTAACAGACGAAGTAGTGGTCTGCATTGTCAATATCATCGCCCCAGGCCATTTCAGCGTCAACCGGAAGAACGATGATGTCCCAGACCTTTCCAAAGGGGTGTTTTTCCTTGAAGGCCCTAAATCCGCTCTTGAGGATGGCAATGTAACCCGGCAGCATCCGGGTCCTTTTAGGGTTGGGGTTGTCAGTGACCTTAGGCGGTTGCTGATAGTCAGCCGCAAAATTGTCTTGGTCAGAGCTAGAAGATTCGGCCCTTGACCCTTCGCCGTCCTCAGCGTTGCCGGCTTCATTAGAGGAGGCGGTTCCTTCTCCGCCTACCTCTCGTACCCCGGAGCTCCCGAAAGTAGAGGGAGCTTCTTCTTCGTCAGACCTGCTCTCCTCCAAATCCCTCTGTTCCCCGTCTAGGAAAACCTCATCGGCTGGCACTTCCATAGTGCGTCGGCTCCTAGGCCGTCTGGCTGTTTGTTTCGTTCTAGCCACTGTGTCCTGCACAGACACAGAGAGGGAGGATATCGGTTCTGACAGTCCAGCAAAGGCACCCCCTGTTCTAGACTCAGCCGTTCTGGGGGATCGGTTGAGTGTCCTAGGCAGTGCCGAGTGAGTGGATTGATAACTCATTTATATTCTCTAAAAAACTAGGTATACAGGTGGAGAAAAAATGGTATACAAATTGAAAGGGAGGAAAGCTAAAATGGTACAGGCGGTTACCTCGCTTTTACTCTGAAAAATCTGAAAACCGCTACAGCCGGTAAACCGGGTGTTGAAATGCTAGCACACCGAAGCTTGAAACTTGTTGTGATGCAGACGGAAGCAGAGAATCTCTCTCTAGAAGCTCTCTTTTTTTCTTTCTAAAAAGTGAAATGTGAATAAGGTGAAAAAAAAGGGGGGGTAAACTTCTATTTGTAGAAGGTGAAAACGGGGGAAATCTTTGATTTGAAATTCAAATTTTTACCTGTTACTATTCACCTTTGAGAGGTGGACATGTGTCACAGGCCCCACGTGATATGGACGTGCGACCTGTGAGGGGCAAATGTTTAGGGTAAAAATACCCTAGACACATGGACCAATGTGAGGAGGTCACGTGTCGAGCTCAGGATGGCCCATGTGGCTTAACATACTCTTGACACTTGGCGCCCTAAGATACTTCTTTGAAATGGCGGCCTTCAAGGGCCCAAATCCCTAGAAGCATCGTTTTACGGCGCAGCCCACTGAAATTTAGGTCAAGTGACCTAGATAGGGGCACGTTCTCCAAGGACCCTATAAATAGGGAGATATTTCCCCACTTTGGGGAAAAATTCAATCATTTATTACACCTGCATTCTCTCACATCAGAGAAATACCTGAGCTTGGAATCCAGGCAGATCCCCACCTAAATTTCCGTACTCTTTATATCTTTTCAAGTTACTAACTTGATCGTCAGAGGCGGAGCTCCAACCACCCGGAGTCTCCGTTATTTTGCAGGTACAACTCAGCCGGATCAGTCTTCGTGACGTAACTCTCCCGTGGGACAAAAACACCCAAAACACAAACAATGGGGAGAAAACCTACCACTGTAAGAAGTGTATAAGGAACCACCCTGGGAGAGACTGTGATGGGAATTTGGTGACCTGCAGGTTCTGCAACAAGAAGGGACACATGGAGTATGAGTGTTACACCAAACAGAGACAACAGGGAAATAGTGGGAATGGTGGGAACACCCAGCAGAGGCCTAACAATTTCAATAACCAGGGGAATAGGGGAAATGGTCAAAATGGGAAGTTTGGGAATGGTAGCAACAATAACAACAGGTCTGGCAATGGCAATGGCAACAACAACAACTCAGGCAACAACAACAATGGGTATCAAGCAAGAAACAACACTCCCGGCCGCTTGTCTGTGATGAGCAAGGGAGAAGCTGAGAGGTCCTCAGATGTAGTTACTAGTACTTTTTCTATCCAATATATCTCTGTCAACACTCTATTTGACTCTGGAGCAGCTTATTCTTTCATTTCTACTTTTATTGTGCGCAAGTTCAACTTAACTAAATCGAGTCATGTTGATGTGTCAGTCAGTCTGCCTACGGGCAAACTTGTTCTTTGTAATAAAATATTCAAAGGCTTGCCTTTGAAAATAGGAGAAGCTATCTTTCCATCAGATCTTATTGAGTTTAACCTAGGGGACTTAGATGTAATTCTGGGGATGGATTGGCTGAGTTTATACAAGGCTAAGATAGACTTTGAGATGCAGAGGGTACACCTGAGTGATTCTTTGGGTAAGAAAGTGTCCTATAGACGGTTAGGGAAGCCTAAAGGTTTTGGGATCATTTCTGCGATGAAGGTGAAGAAGCTAGTGAATAAGGGATGTCCATTGTACTTTTGCTGCGTTCAAGATTTGAGTATGAGTGAGAATAGGCCGATGGAGGATGTGCCCATTGTGAATGAGTTTTTAGATGTCTTTCCAGAAGAGATTTCGGGAATGCCACCTAAGAGGGAAGTTGAGTTTACCATTGATTTAGTTCCAGGAGCTGCACCTATCTCCAAAGCACCGTGTAGAATGGCACCGGCTGAAATGAGTGAACTAAAGGCTCAATTGCAGGATTTGCTAGACAAGGGGTTCATTAGGCCCAGTGCATCACCTTGGGGAGCACTTGTGCTATTTGGGAAAAAGAAGGATGGAAGTTTGAGGCTATGTATTGATTATAGAGAGTTGAATAACGTGACAGTAAAGAATAAGTACCCTCTACCTAGGATAGATGACTTGTTTGACCAACTGAAGGGGGCTACCGTGTTTTCGAAGATTAACTTGAGGTCGAGGTACCATCAGTTGAAGGTTGCAGATAAAGACATTCCAAAAACAGCCTTTAGAACTCGGTATGGACATTACGAGTTTACAGTCATTCCTTTTGGGTTAACCAATGCACCAGCCATATTTATGGACTTGATGAACCGAGTGTTTCATGAGTATTTGGATAAGTTTGTAGTTGTGTTTATTGATGACATTTTGGTGTATTCGAAGAATGAGGAAGAACATGATGAGCACTTGAGAACTACCCTTGAAACTCTTAGAAAGAACAAATTGTATGCTAAGTTTTCCAAGTGTGAGTTCTGGTTGGAGAAAGTGGCATTTTTGGGGCATTACATTTCGAAGGAGGGTGTATCCGTAGATCCTACGAAGATCAAGGCGGTGAGTGAGTGGCCTACACCTAAAAATGTGACTGATGTTCGTAGTTTCTTGGGATTAGCTGGATATTATAGAAGGTTTGTCAAGGATTTTTCGAGGATAGCCAGACCCATGACTACTCTTATGAAGAAGCAGAGCAATTTTGAGTGGAACCAGAGTTGTGAGTCAGCTTTTCAAACCCTCAAAGAGCGATTGACCACTACACCAGTGCTGGTATTACCTGATGGAATAGAAGGATTCGAAGTGTATAGTGATGTCTCGAAGCATGGTCTGGGATGTGTCCTATAACAGAATGGAAGGGTGATCGCATATGCATCGAGACAACTGAAGAAGCATGAAGTCAACTACCCTACCCATGATTTGGAACTTGCAGCTGTTGTATTCGCTTTGAAGATTTGGAGGCACTACCTTTACGGTGTTTCTTGTAAGATCTTCACGGACCATAAAAGTCTAAAGTACATGTTTACCCAAGATCACTTGAACATGCAGCAACATAGATGGTTGGAGTATCTTACAAACTACCATGTCCACATCCAATATCATGAGGGAAAGGCGAATGTAGTTGCGGATGCCCTTAGCAGAAAGTCGAGTCATAATGTCAATGCTTTGATTGTGGCCAATGAGTTGTGTGAAGATATGAGGAGATTGAACCTTGAGGTTATCAACAAAGGAGAGTTAGAGGGGTTACTGGGTGCTTTAACCATCCAACCTTCCATATTTGAGGAGATTAAAGAAAAGCAGCTGGAGGATGAGTCGTTTCAGAAGATTAGAGATCGTGTGACTAGTGGTGTGGAGACTGAATTCAAGATTCATGAGGATGGGAGCTTGAGATACAAGGAGAGATGGTGCATACCACAGAAGTGTGAGGATATCAAAAGGAAAATCATGGAGGAGTGCCATAATACACCATATTAAGTTCACCCTGGGGGCAATAAGTTGTATAAGGATTTGTAGGAGTTCTATTGGTGGCCGAATATGAAGAGAGAAGTGGCTGAGTCTGTATCTAAATGTCTAATGTGCCAGAAAGTGAAGATAGACCATAAAAGACCTATGGGAAAGGTACAACCATTAGAAATACCAGGTTGGAAGTGGGATTCCATATCCATGGACTTTGTGACAGGCTTACCAAAGACTCGTACTGGGAATGACACGATTATGGTGATTGTAGACAGACTTACTAAGTCAGCGATGTTCATTCCTATAAAAGAAACCTGGAAAAAGAAGCAGCTAGCAAGCGTCTATGTGAAGAATATAGTTCGGTTGCACGGAGTTCCCAAGGACATAGTGTCAGATAGAGAATCGAGGTTTCTATCAAAGTTTTGGCAAAAAGTGCAATAGAACCTTGGGACAACACTGAAGATGAGTACTGCCTTTCACCCTGCAACCGATGGTCAGACTGAGAGAACAAATCATGGAGGACATGTTGCGAGCTTGTGCTTTAGATTTCCAAGGAAATTGGGAGGATCACCTACCCTTGATCGAATTCTCTTACAATAACAGTTACCATACAAGCATCAAGATGGCACCTTTTGAAGCATTGTATGGAAGGAAGTGCTGAAGCCCAGTTCACTGGAATGATTACAGTGAACGGGTTACTTTGGGTACAGATTTCATTGAGGATATGGTGGGCAAGGTGAAACTAATCCAGTCGCGTATCAAGGCAGCACAAGATAGACAGAAGAGTTATGCTGACTTGAAGATGAGAGATGATGAGTTTAATGTTGGGGACAAAGTATTTCTAAAGGTTTCTCCAACAAAAGGTGTGATGTGATTCGGCAAGAAAGGGAAGCTTAGTGCAAAATATGTTGGTCCGTATGAAATTCTCCAACGTGTAGGGAAAGTGGCTTACAAATTGGCTTTGCCAATGGAGTTCGAGAAAATGCATGATGTATTCCACATTTCCCAACTGAAAAAGTATGTGCCTAGTGAAACCCATGTTTTGCAGCCGGAGGCTATTCAACTAGATGAGTCTCTAACTTATGAAGAAAGACTAATCAAGAGACTAGACCACAAGGTGCGTAGTACTAGAAACAAAGATGTGAAGATAGTGAAAGTCCTTTGGTCAAACCAGGAGTACGAAGAGGCTACTTGGGAGGCCGAGGAAGAGATGAAAAACAAATATCCCGAGTTTGTTTGACGAGGTGAGTTACGAGGGCGTAACTCTTTTCTTTTGAGGGGGGAAGAATGCGATATAATTTTGCGCGCTTTTACCTCAATAATACCATTTATTGCCTTATTTTGCACGTTTTTGCATGTTTTGGTTATCATTATGCATCATTATTGCGTTTACATACAATAAAAGTATGTAAACTTTGGCCAAATATGAGTTCATTAAGTACAAAGTTCGATTTGTTAAGTGTGTTTGTTGAGAAGCAAACAATTTACAGCAATACAAAACGCATAAGTTTGAATACTTTTGAGGAACTATGGATTTTGGGTAAAGTTTCGAGGGCGAAACTTCTTTTAAGAGGGGTGGATTGTAATCCCCCATATTTTTAACTTAATTATTATTTATTTATATATTATTCTTACAAATATTTTTATGTCACTTTCATTAAATAAGTTAATTTTTATGAAAAGATTTAAGTAAACTAATATGTTTTTAACTAATTTACAACAATTTTAACATTATAGCCCAAAACCCAAATATTACTCCTAATCTAATTAGGAAACCCATAACCAAATAAAGCCCAAATAAAACCCTTACCCTTCTCCCTCTTCTCACGTAAAAAAAAAAAAAAAAAAAAAAAAAAAAAAAAAAAAAAAAAGAAGAGGAGCAGCTTTCACTTCCTCCTTCTTCTCCTTCATTCACGAGCCACAAACAGAGAAAAAAAAAAAAACCCGAAGCTTCCCCTGCTGCCGCCCCTGCCGCCGCGCCGCACCACTGCAGTTCGCTCTCCCCTCTTTTCCTTTCTCTTATTTCTCTTTCTTTATTTCTTATTATTTTGATTAAAGATTCAATTTTTATTTGATTTCAATTATAAAATTATTGTTATTAGGCTTTAATAGTATGTATAAATTACAAAAGATTATAAATTTATGGATTTTGTATGTCTAAATTATTAAATAAAATTTCAGATTATGTATTTTGCATATTTTAGGGTTTAAAACATTGATTTTTCATGTTTTAGGGATTGATTACGTGTTAATAAAACTATCTAATCATACTATGTTTAAATTACATTAAAATATAATTATCTTAATCATAAATAAATATTCAGATTTATTAAAGTTTCAATTTTTATGAACAAGAAGTGTTAATTTCATGTTTTTATGCTTCTAAACCTACAAAATAATCATTGTGAGTATTTTGTGATTGAAAAAGCTTTGAACTTTATATTCTAACTTTAATAAATAATTTTCAGATTTCATACCTTTTATTTTGAAGCCTCTAATTGCATTGAATTGATATATTCTTGGGTTTTTAACACACTGACTTGCTATATCATGACTAATTCAAGTAATTATGCTTATGGGGTTATTTTATATATTTAAAACAAATTCCAGATTTATTTACCCACTTTAAAGTTGCTGTAATTTGATATAAAACACTATATTTTCATAATTCTAACATGTAAACTTAAAGTTGGGATGTTATATTACTAACTTTGATTTTTGGGGACAATCTAAAGGCTTTATTTTGGTGATTTGAGAGGTTTTAACGTAGTTTAGTATTGCTGTAATTTTAATTGCTTTGGTATTGATTTATTTCTAATTTTTTGGTTTAGGAGAGGACTTTGTAGAAGGCGACTTCTAGTTTTAAAGTGGCCAACCGGATTGTATACACAAGGTACGTACAAGATACGAAACCTTGTTTGTAGGTGCATGTTTAAGGACGGATCGAGAACTTAGTATCATGTATAGGATTGACTGGGTTAAATTGTCTTGTTATACATTGTGAATTTCAAATGATGTGCACTAGTTTATAATGCAAGTATTATTTGTGCTTTAATTATGCAAGGTGCGCTTAAAGGCAAAGGTATGTGATTGGTTTAAAGATCAAATTATTACTCGTTCATGATTATGTAAACAGGATGAGTAAAGGAGAAATTCAAGTCTTGTAAGATGAGGTTAAGGTTTTGGGGTGCCTTATGCACTCAAGGTGTTTATACACCGAGGTAGTAATGGAATAATTAATAAATGTTGTTTGTCACTAATAAATCAAGAATCTAAATTCAGAATTTGCCATGTTTGACTAAATTGCTTTTGGGATGTTTGTATTGATATGTATATGAGTCATCACCAAGTCTAAACCTATAAATCACGTAAAGTGCAAGATGGATGAGCAATAAAACTCTGGAATGGTGCACATCTGGAGTAATGACAATCAGGGGTTGGGGTACATGGCGTATTAGCCGTGTCCTTTTCTCGAGGCCGTCTGATCTGCGAGTCTCTTATTTCAAATATATTTTTTTTTAAAACTAGGAGTTAGGTGAGATCTCATACTAACTACGGTCACAGAGTCGCGCCCGTGGTCGTTGGATGTTTATTGATGTTTCCGAAAGGAGGCATGGGGTTTTTCTTTATTGATATTCCAAATGGGACATGGGTTGGACAACCTTGTCTATTTATAAATCCAATGAAATAAATAAATGAGTCAGTTAATATTAATTAGTGAGGTCTTAATAAATTTGATAATCGAGTCGTGAATTGAGTCTGTATTTAATGATGCTTGTGCTGGAATATTAGTAGCACGTTAGGTATTTTCTTAATTTGTTTTCGCAGCTTGTATGTACTCAGCTTTGCTGACTGCGTGCTTTTTGTGTGTCTTTCTTTGGTCATGGCCTTCGCCTTTCAATGACCCTGTGACGATCCAATTTTTACACTTGTAATATTAGGGAGCAGAATAACTACTGGTTCTTACACATGTAGCATTCATCAGGGTTGTGGGATCTTGAGTAGAGAGTTGGTTGTTTCCATATTATTTATTTTGCAAAGTTTGAATTTATTTTAATTCAATTTTAGTTGACACTAATTCTTTTGGGTTTGAATTTATTAAAACACTGAATTTAATTACTTACTAGTTTTTATCGGGTTTTGAATAAGGGCCTTAATGGTTCCAACTTGTAATACTTATTTTGATTTAATTCCTTTGTTTTTGAGGTTTATTAAAAACTGTTTTGGTTTTCCGCTGCAAATTTCTGAGATAGTCTTAACGTTTGAACACGTGGCGGTAGCACACCAGTAATTTTGTTGAAATTGTTCAGGTTATATACATGTTTTTAAGAGAGAATTATTGGGGTGTTACAACGTTCAAGTCTCGCTCTCTAACTAGAGATTATCCAAGTTAGTTCTCGTTACAACCCATAGGCAACCTGGTGTTGGAAACCTTGGACCATAACTACAAACTAATCATGTAACCTCTAAGTCCCTAGCGGAGTCGCCACTGTAAGGAGGGTGACCCCGTCGCAAGGGGTACTCTCCATAAATTCCCATGGCCCTTTAGAGCCTAGGACTTTATACTTGTTAGAGTGTATTAGGATTTGAATTCCTGACTGTTTGGGGGACCTTGAATTAGAAATGATTCTATCATACACGCTTTTTTGTAAGGAACAAGTAGGAGTCGCCAATGTGTTTTGGGAAAACACATAAACCTCGTTCATGCCTTTCTCTCAAGTAGAGTTCAAGGGATATTTAGCATGAATTATAAGTTTACCCATGCCCAAATTGGTCTACATAAACCAGAAATGAGTTCGGGAGCGAGCGTACTAAGATAAAGTTCCCTTTAGAGGGGAATCGCGATCCTAGCCCTAGTGCGGCCTCTACTAGTTCTTCCTTTTGCACAATTTCATCACCAAACAATATATGCAACGTGATACCTAAAACTAAATTAGTTTATTTTATCCACACACATCAATTCACGTAGGAATTACATCGTAAGGTCGTTATTCTTATTTAATTAAATTCGTGAAAAGAACAAGAAAATAAACAATATTCGCCTTGGCTTAAGTGATCAACCAACAATTATTTTATTCAATTCTAATCTTTATTTAACGAAAGATACTATATGGAATTGATTAATTAATTATTTTAAAGGTGATCAAACAACACTAATTAATTAAGGTTCTTTTAAATAAGAAAATAAACGTGATTTAACTAAGTGCTTGGGAATTTACCACTTCTCTTTTCTAGATCTCCGTTTAGAAAAGTTATGGATTCCTTCTTGTTGGGGAACCACCACCGTAGTAACAAAGTATCAAAGGGGTTTTAGGACAAGAGGGTTAGGAAGCACAAGTTTACAAGTATTCTGCCAGCGTTTTAGGTTATTTTCCCTCTGTTTAAGCCTCGGATTAGGGTCTTATTTATAGGGAATGATTAGGTTTAGGGTTAAGAGCATTCTTCCGGAGCAGGTGTCGCGCGCAATTGGATGAGTTGCGCGCGGCTGTCACGCGCAAGTGAATAAGTCTCGCGCTGATGATGCGCGTAGTTATTTATGTTGCGCGCAGCTCTATTGTAAGATTCGATTTTCAATATTTTAATATTCTGAATCTTTCGCGAGCACATCTCAAGAAGTTGCGCGGAGTGCTGCGCGCATCTGAATAAGTTGCGCGCGACGGCTGAGCGCAACTTTGTGAGATGCGCGCGACATTTTCCACGGCAGCTTAAATTTTAACCTAGACGCTTTTAAATCCGTCATTATTGGGTTTTGAGCACGGGCTTAAGCCTAATTATGATAGGGTTTAGTTAATTGGACCATGTATTGGCCTTGTTCTTTTGTTCAGGCTAGTCTTTTGTGTTTTGTGGCTTAACCAGTTATCCATAAGTATTCTTCACTTTGATCCAACACGAAGATGGCTTTATTTATCGTCATTGCACTTCCTATCGGGACAGGAGGCCAAAAGTAGATGTCTACAGTTTGCCCCTACTTTGATCGAGTCTAGGATAGACGATGATCAAAGTAGTCAAGGAAAAATCCGAGACTCATTTTGCGAAGTTCTCTAAGGTTAGAGAATCTTTCAGTAATGTTTAAGGATGTCGAATCAGTCCTCGGTTTGCTAAGTGTTTGAACAAGTGGCTATTAAGGCTAGAGAAAGTTTTCCCTAGTCTTAACGCGCTAAATAATCTAGATTGATCCTTTGCAATTGTAGAATACTTTTACAAGTAAATGTATTCTGAGTGATGTCCAGCCATGAGAAG